TACTTCGTTGTTGTTATTGTTTTTCCTTTTCTTTTGGTATACTTTTTATTCCTTTTTTTTACATTTATGGTTCCAATAAGGAGCAAGCAGCTAATTAATTCATGTTTCTGCTCATTGTTTGAGTTGTCATTTCTAATTTAAATTTTTTTGTTTTTTCTTTTCCGCTTTATTTTATGTACTTGTCAGTGATATATTTCTTCTTTTCGCACTGATCAGCCGATTTATTTTGGGAGTCCTTTTCTCCATTTTGCTGCTCTTTCTAAGGACCTTTTTCTTCCTGTTTTTTTTTCTCAAAACGGAAGAAAATCTCTTCCGGACAGATGAATGAAAATTTTTGGAAAGAAAATGAAGCAGAAAGCAAAGTTTAGAATTAATGCAGTTGTCTTAGGTTTTCAGCTATTATTCAACTAATTCATGAGTTATTGAACAACTTTTTTTTTTAATATTTTTTCTACTTTATTAAGCTCAGTTAAAAAAAAGACGGTGATATAGGCTAGTTAGATTGTTAATTCGGTGTCAAGAGAGGAACGGAGTTAGATGTAGTCGGGCTTAGAATACTTTTTTAATACTTGGAAATTTCAGATGGAGGAGTTGGAGGTAAGGGTATAACTGGAAAAAAGTTTTCAGAAAGATTTGCATTTTTTACAAACTGCAACTTTTCAAGAAGTTTATTAAGGGTTTTTAGAACTCTGGTCAAAAAAAAGTTTTACAATAATTTAATGAGCAGTGAAAGCAAAAAGAAAAAAGGATTTTGTTGAAAATCCCATTCAAAAACAGGGGAAAATAAATAAATAAAAGTTGGTTTGAAGTTTTTAGTTAACGATCTAGCAGTAGCAGATTTTAGAGTTGCTCAGCACTCTTAAAAGACCTTTCTCTAAAGAGGTCTCGAACTGATTGAAATGAGTTGTTGTGTGCACAAAGATTGGGGTAAGGTGATGATGAGGATGGTGATGATGTTGCTGATTGAGCTGGGACGGTAGTTTGTTCTATTAATGCATAAAGTCTTACTTGCTCTTCATTGGGTCTACCTCCTTCAGAGG